GAGAACTGGCTTCCATAGAAAGCTCTTTGGTGACTGTTCTCTACAAGCCAAGTATGATGGTACAAGAGGCTGCCAAAAAGAGGGGCCTCCCTAATTTCAGTGAGGATTATGGGCTATTGGAGCAACAGGGTTATGGTGACAGGGATGAACTGCCAGAGGCAAGGTGAATCAATGTTCATAATGAACACTGGAAATGTACTGACAGATTGAAGGCATAGATGAATGGGAAATAGAATGCTTTGATCCTTAGAACTTCTGTGGTGACTAATCGATCACAGTGTCTCTCAGAATGAAATGGGGTCCTTAATCTCTATATCTGGGGAAAAGTCAAAGTCTGGTAGCCAGAATCCTGATGTGAGATATTATAATGGTAAGTCATGGTCTCTGACCTAGTTTCTAGACCTAAGCCAGTTCACAGACCTGGAATCACCTAATAAAATTGAGTCCCCTAGGAAAAACCCTAAAACACTACCAAAATTACAGACTATAAGTCTTGTTCTAAACTTCAGCCAGAAGGATCTGTTGTCATTTACTAAAATGACCATAAATGGAGAAAAAAAAAACTTCAAACATTTTAGGAATTAAAACTGTTGTCTGTTGACTTCCCCAGAAATAGACCACCAGAATAACCTGATCAAACAAGGCCAAGTTTATTACTTATGTAGGAAGGGTAAACACCATCTTGCCCGAATCTGTGTTTCAGGAGGAGGAGATCGAGGAGAGATAGAGTTTTAGGATGTATATTTGAATGATTTGAAGCAGCTCTTGTAATAAAGGGATCTTACTGGAACTGGTCAAAATTCATGACACATGAGGATTAGTGGACAGAGTGGGCATGAGTTGTGAAGGAATCTTGATGAGAAAACAAGTGTTTGATAAGCAGCAGAGTTTGACCAATTAAGTCTTCTCTTGTCCTAAAAAGAAAGCTGATTAAGAAATCTACTGCTCAAATAAAACTAACAATGAAGTTATGTTCTGATTCAAAGCTTTGTCCTCCTCGGCAAGAATTACCTAGAATAAATAGTACAGTCTTATTGTTGTAGTGGCTTTAATTTTGAGGCTTTATAATTAAGCCATTTGGATGCAGATGGTATTAGTTCTGTCTAGATACTGAGTCTAAGTTCTTAATTTTATGTGACCCCCAAACATCACTGTGGTCCCCCAGTCAAAGTGGGTCTTATGGTGATGAAGTGATAAGTTGTATTTTGGCCCAAGTCAAATCTCAGTGGTCTAAGTAAGTCTTTAAACTGATTATTTCCCAGATCATTAATGTATATTTGAAATAGACATGCTCAGAAACTGGTAGAAACAAATTGGCTCTCTAAACTGTAGAGTGAGTTCCATTTTGGTAGAAAGACCATGTGGAAGTTCAGGGACTTCTATTCTTTACCAGAATTGTAAATCAAAATTAATACTGCATTGCTGGGGGAATAGTGCCAACATAAACTTAAAATATATACATATTTTTTGTCCTTTAAAGGAAGTGAATAAATCCTAGAGAATTACTGTAGATTATGGTAAAGTTAAACAGATGGTAACTCTAACCACAGTGTCTATTACAGCTGTGATCATCTCTACTGCAATAAATCAACATAGCCCCTGACACCTGGTATACAGCTTATTGACCTGGAAAATTCCTTTTTCTTTGTAACAACTTGCAAGGACCATTAAAGTCAGGTTGTTTATCTTCCAGGGCCAACAGTCATTTTAACAATCTTGTCTCATAACTACATCAATGCTTCTGCTCTATAAAGTAGTCTACAGAGATCTTGATTATCTCAACATTTCATAGATCATGTTCTCTGGACAACAACTCTTGTGCTTTTCCAATGGGCTAGGTACAAAGTGGCAGTGGTCATGCATAGGCTTAATTAATATAGATGCAACCCCACCATATTGACTTGTTACTACTACCACTGAATGCCTAACCTTCCATCAGCAGAAACTAATTTGAGCTGTCATGCCTTTGCGGATTCAGCTCTTCACCTGGCAACAAGTTGATTATACTGGATTCCTTTCATTGTGAACAAGTTAAAAATTTGATTTCACTAAAATAGACATCTGTTCTAGAAATGAATTTCTTTTCTATGCCCATGATGCTTCTGACAGCATCATGATCTATGTGCTTACAGAATGCCTAGAATACTCTCAAAGTAATCTGTACAGTATTACTCTAATCCAGGAATGTGTTTCAAACAAAAGAAGGATAACAATGGATGTGTGTCCATGGAAATGACTGGTCTTAAATATATTCTATCACCCAGAAGCAGTTGGTCTCAGTTGTAATACCAACTCATTTACAGTGTCACTTCAGAAAGAAGACCCTGAAAAGATGGGATTCTATTTCACAGAATGTAATATGTACTTTGACTCAGTGATCAATATACAATGCTGTTTCTTCCATAACCATACAAAAATGTTCCCACCCAATTAGAAGTTGAAATTTCACCTGGTCATTTTGGACTCAGGCCAGTGAACCTACATGTAGGCAAACAAGACAGCAATGCTGCTAAAGTGGGGTGGGATGAATGATGTTGATAACCAAGAGGGAGTCTGGTTGTTGTAAACAGAAGGACTAGGCAGTACTGTATCCAGAGACAAGGGGTTTTCTGAAGCATATATCAGCACTTCCATGCCCACAAGTAAAAGGTAATGAAAACGTACAGCAACCAAACAAAGCCAATACCATTGAGAATTAGGAACTTTTTGTAATAAAGATTTAGATTAAACTACCAGGTAAATTATGCCAAACAAATGAGGTCCTAGCCTAGGACAAAGAAATTAGGAATGGGAGGTGAAGAAGAAAGTTATAAATATCGATTATGGCATCATGATCAATGGTTGTGTGTGTGTGTGTGTGTGTGTGTGTGTGTGTGTCTGTGTATGTGCTAATTTGTTCTTCTCTACCTTCCTTCCTTTTATGACTACATGTTGGGAGCCAAAACTAAGAACAAAGAATCTTGTGACTAGGCGAGGCCTTATCTGCATCCTGCATCTTGTTAGCCCCCTAGCAGTCAGCCCAGCCCAGAGTTACAGTTCCCTCCTTCACTCCCACTCCCTCTAACCCTTACCACTCCTCACCCCACCAGCTAAGAACCAATGCGCCTGTGACAGATACTCTCCCGCCCAGCTAGCCCTGCCCCCCTTTGTTAGCCCTGTATAAATACTCTTGCTGCTCAATAAAATTTTGAGGCTTGATCAGAATACTGTCTTGCCTCCATTTCTTTGTCCCGCCCATGTTTTCTTTCAGGTAAGGTCCTCCTCGGGTTCCGCGCAATAACTAGGTCCAGCGGGTCCGGACATTGGGGCTAAAGGTAACGCATAGCAGTAAACAAGAAGGCAGAAAATTGGGGACCGCTCTTAGCCAGTCAATCGCACCGTGGAATGAAGACCTCAACGACCTTCAATTTAGCTGAAATCCATTATAACATGAGCATAAGGCGAAACGCGTACGCCCAGAAGTTCATTAAGTCCACTATAACAGGCTGATTTCTGGGAAGGAACATGCGCAGAAAGCAAATGATGAATCACGGAGTCCTGCCAGTCTTAATTGTCAATCAAGAATGCTCAGTGCTCTCAAAAATTGCCCACCTAGAGCAAATAGGGAACAAAACCCCAAAAGCTTGGTCGACAGGCCTTTTGAGCCACGCCTCTCTTGCTCAGGACCGCTTCCACGTCTGCAAGTGTACTTTCCCTTCTAATGAAACTAGTCTTCTCTACAGTATTTCGTTATCTCGCTCTATCCATTGTTCCAGACATCAAGAATGG